TACAGGACTACATATAGGCTATGTTCTCTGTCACCTAAGACCTAATCACCATTTTTTTTTCTCTAAAGGGAAAAGTTTCTTGTTCCAACAAGTGACTTGCAAATGACATTTTAGGACTTACTTTTTCCAAAGGACAAACTAAATGGGGGAATAAAGACAGAATATTTGGAAGTGGATGATCTGGTCATGAATCCTTGAGTAGCACCGTCACCTCTGATTAATGACACTGTGGACATGAGTTTGATCCTCTAAAATACGGCTAATGCCCATTCCAACTTTTCAGAAAGGCTACTATGAGGATCAGGTAGAAATTAAATACCCTATAATGTGCAATGAAGAAGTATTATCACTATACAAAAGAAATTTATGTTAGCATTTGCTTTCACAATCATATTGCAAAGACTAGCCTCAGTTGGTTTTATGTTGCTAATATGATATAATCCTTCCCCCTCCCATTTTAGTGTATAATATTTTATGTATTAGACTTTGTGCCAAGTTGTGTAATAATTTCTAAAATTTTATAATGGATCTGTATCCTGAAATTCTATCAGACAAATCCAACCCCTTTGACAGGGGTTAACCAATTCTAGCCAGAGGACAAATCCTACTTGCCACCTGTCTTTGTAAGGCTTGTAAGCTGAGAATAGTTTTACATTTTTAAGCAGCTGAGAAAAAAATCATAATAATAATATATTGGGACACATAAAAAATTACATGAAATTCATATTTCAGCATTCATAAATTGTTGTATTGGTAAACTGCCACATCTACCATCTACATATGGCTGCTCTGGGGAACAGATAAACAGTTTTTATAGAAATATGTCTATAAAGCTGCAAAGCTGAAAAAATTTCATATCTGGCCCTTTTCAAAAAATCCTACTGACCTCTATCCTAGCAGATAAAGCACTAGATTACTCAACAGAGGCCTCAGTGTTTCCCCAGGGCCCCATCTAGATCCTCCTTTACAACCCCTTGTTCTCAGCTGGCTATAAGCTCATGACCATATTGGCTATCTCAAGCCTCCCACACCCCAGACAATTTCCCTTGATTTTGACCATACCTACTCCAAAGAACACACTTTCCTTTCTGTTCAGCCCTCCCTGCTTGAAGTATTCATCAGGCCCCTTCCCCAGGCACCTGCTGGACCCACCCCAAGCTAATTGGAGCAAAAAATGGATGGACAGATTCTTCAAAACAGAGGCATTTTGATAGTCTGATAAAGAAAATGGCCTTACACATGCAATCTCATTGTTTTCAAAGATAAAGATGACACAATTCAACAATCACTCCAGCAAGGAGCAAAATTTATTCCCTGGCCAGAACTTAGAAACCACAATCTCCAATTCTTGACTTAGCACACATCACATCACTGATTCTAATGATTGTTTCCCCACCCTACTAAGTGCAGAGAAGTCAATAAGGATGGAGATGGGCTCTTTTTGAACTTCATGCTAACATAGTCCCTGCCACTACCAAATATCCCAAATCTATTCCTTTGTGGATGACCAATCAGCTGACTTCTCCATGTGTGGTTGTAGACAGCAGAGTATCTTCATCTACAGCTTGTTAGAAAAGCCCAAAACTGTGCTTAATTTAAACCTGCTGAATCAAAACCTGCATTTTAACCTAATCCTACAGTTAAAGCTTGAGAAGCAACCATATATATTATATATATATAGATATATATTTACATATATATATATTTATATATACACACAATATATATACACACACATATATATACACACATATATACACACACATATATATACACACATATATACACACACACATATATACACACATACATATATACACACATACACATATACATATAGTTTCTCTCTAGTTAGAATTTCTCCTTGCTACTGTATTTATGTTCTGCCATTTTCTAGATTTTATTAAAAAATATTTCTTCTCAGTCTTATTAAAAGGCAGGAAATAAACGTCACATACAAAAATATGTTAGCTGTTATCAAATTCCAAATTCCAGAGAATTCAACTATTTCTTTTCTGGAAATTTTCTGGTAGGTTAATAGCATGTCCTCAAAGCCTTGCTAAAAAAGATATATTCAGTGAGAAAATGAGAATGATAAATGTTGGGTTTCTCAAAGGAATTCACTATGAGAAAATGAAATGATGCAATTCACAGCTTCATGTATCAAATGAGAAAGCACCATGAAAATGGTTATTAACACTAATCATGATCATTAATACTAATGATTATCATATTAAGAATAGCCCCATAATTTCCTGAGCAATTAACTCAATGATAATAAAATAAAGGAAATATCAACTGTGTGGTTATGTCTGGCTGGTTTAAAGGTCAGAGAGACTTTAAATTTAGGCTTATTACCCAGGAGCTAACCAAATCCTGAGGAAGCCCTGTTTCTATTGCTTTTCCTAGTGAGTTGTTCACTCATGATAAAAATGTCTTGGCTGAAACTGAAACAGAGAACATCCTTGTGCTGATATTGGAAACTAAACAACTATCATCTGGCTAGGCTGGCACCAATGAAGCTGAAACTGACATGTTCTCTGGCTAACACAGCTTACCTAGATATAGGTGTATATATTACCTGGCTTTTGTTTCTATAAATTATAACGCCTCTGTAAGACCTACAGAGAAACAATCTAGCTGCTTCTCCCGAGTTCAATCAAATTGCATTACCTTCATGTTTCTTTTTACATCATTTGCTTATGTGAGTAGGCAGCTGAATTGGGCCAGCTGGGATCCAGGCAGGCTCCCTGGCTTGGCCGCCAGTAACAAAACCAAGGGCAACTTGCATTCTTTGCAGCTAGAGCTTATAGTAACACTTTCTTCTGGAATTTCTATTGCTTTAGTATTTGGCTTCATTTTAGAGAAGCCACGTTTTAGTCATTGTAGGGAACCAGACATCACATAGTAGGCTTCAGCTGCCACCCGACAATCTGTCCTTGGATTTTCACTGCTCAGTACATTCTGTTTCTCCACCTAGGAAATGAGGTGGCCATGTTCATAGTCTAAGGCCAGGTGCCTGGAAGAAGGCATAATGTGTCAGGATTCTTGATGGGGCCACGAGATGTGAAGAGCAGCACATAAAGTAGACTGAGCTCTACCACAACCTAGGGAACAGAATGCTCATCAGACTGTTCCTGATGAGAAAGTAGAGTAGAGGGTGTAGTCTTCTGATACTCCATTCTTAATCATTGAAGTGAGTCATGAGGACAAAAGGTACAGTGCAGATTCTAGCAGGCAAGGTGTTCCTGGGCATGAGAAGTTCTGGGTGGATGTGTTTGAATGGAAGAGGACAAAGAAACAGGTGACAGGTTTCCACATCTTTCACTCTGAATGGAACCATGAATGGATTCTCAAGTTTCAAAGCAGGTCTTACAGGATGGCTGTAGGACATCAGATCCAGTCACCTCCTTGAAAAATCTCTTTGAATAAGGCATGCTAATGAGGACAATCTTGAATGTGCACTGCACATTCCCAAGTCACCAATAAATCCTGCAAAATCTGATCAGAACCCTGGCTAGTGATGGGGTTGGGAGGCGTCACTTGGATCATGGTCAACTCCTTTAGGCATTTGTTCAGCATGCAGAGTCTGATCTCACATGAATGAGCCAGGATCCATACAATTGGACACAACAGAGACAGAGTCATGAGAAGCTGGAATTGGACAGCCTAAGGCAGAGATCAGGAGACATTCATGCAGTATGAGGTTGGCCAAGGGCATGGCTAAGCTAGACACCTGCAGCAGGTGTCTGCAATTACAGTCCTTCAAGTCCCAAAACACAAGTCCTTGCTGATCCCAAGTACTTTATACAAATTATACACTTGGTTACCCGAGATAACAGCTTATAAATTCAATTTCCAGGTACACAGTGCTCCTAATTGGGCTTCCAGAAACAAATTCAACTGAATCTGAATTCAGGCATCATATTA